TGCTACATCTTTTAATAGCCAGGCACCATCCACTTTCTTCACCATATTTGCTTATGCACCTGTTTTGTCTTCAGCGATTGTTCTGGGAAGGTGAATATCACAGAATGCCATTTTGTTAGAACAAAGAGTTCTTGTATTGAGGAAGGGTATGAGCCCAAAGCCCATCCACTATCTCAGTGTATTGCCATATAAATACCATATATTCTCGTGTATAAGCTGAGATTTTCAGCACATTTTTAATGTAATTTTATGGTAAAATTAGGTGCCTTAGCTGATATTTGGGTCGGCTTATACTCGAGTATATACAGATATGTACATAGGCCAATATCTATTTTTATGGATTAATGTATTTACATATGTACACACCTATGCTTATACCTCTATCCATAGCTTTGCTTCTTAGATCCTTCCTCTGTTTCCTTTTACCTTCCTCCTGCCCAGCCATCACACTTGCCCTTCTTCCTCCTCTTAGCTAGATTACTGTTGCTCCAACACCCTCAGGGTCTCTACATCCTCCTTGTTGATTTTAATTCCCTAGTTGTTCCCCTGTCTATGGCATTGTTTGTTAACCATTCCCTTCTCCCGCCACCTTCTCCCTACCCAAGTCCCTCTGGGACCATTGATCCTGTTGCTTTCTCCTTGAGATTGTTTCCCATGCCTGTCTTATATAAATAGATAAACCAACAATGACCTAGAGCAAACAAAAAGACAACAAAAGATTGAAAAAATGCACATAATTCCAGGTCTGTCCACTAACCTTTATGACTCCCCATTGGTCCTGGGGGAGTTCTGGGAGCTGCCCGTTCTAGCCTGAAGTCTATTTTGGGGGCTCTTTGGGGGCTTTGTGGCTTTGCTCCAGTTGCTGATGTTATGTTCCCTTATTGGTTTGCCCCACTGCCGGGGGGAGGGGTGTCAGACCCCACTACCTCCTGCTGTGTGTGTCCCCAGTATTGTCCTCTGTCGCAGCATGCTCCAGTAAGGGGGAAACGTCATGAGCTGTTGTTCGCCCTACAGCCCTCTCTGTGACTTAGCAGCTTCATGCAGGGACGTTGTCCTCCCACCTTAGTGTGCCAATATGCTGTCTAGAACGACTATCCTGTTCTCTTTTTCCTTCTTGGTTTGCTTCTGTGTGGGCATGGTATGCTGGCCCCTCTTTCCAACCTGTAGGTTTAATGTTGTTCTCTGTCACACACTTCTAGAGAGGGGGTCAGTTTGGCTCTGGTTGGGGCCAGCCCATTAGCCCATCTTTTCATGTATTCATGCACGTGCTTATGTTGCCCTCATGGTTTGGTGTGCTGTAGTGGGGTCAGTATGCACACTCTCAATTCAGTGAAGGAGGGTTCATATCTCACCACATCCCCTCCAACATTTGTTACTCTCTGATTTTCTCATGTGGGGTAACCTTAAGGGTGTTAAATGGTATCTCATGGTTGTTTTAATTTGTATTTCTCTGATGGCTAATGATCAGGAGCATTTTCTCATGTTTATTGGCCATACAGGTCCCCTCCCTAGTGAAACTTCTTTTCAGTTCTTTTGCACCCTTCCTCAGGGGTTGACTGTTTTCCTCTTTTTGCAGGTCAGGAGAGTATTGTAGATTTTAGTAATAATCCCTTTCTTTTGTCATTGCTAAAAATCCTCTCCCAGTCTGTGGGTTGCCTTGTTTCCCTCTTGGTGAAGTCTTTCAATGCACACAGGTGTTTTACCCTTAGTAAATAACACTTGATTTCAGGCTCATCTGTGTGTGTATCCTTCCCTGTTGCAGTTAGCCTATATATTACATGGGCTAAGGTTCTTAGATTTTTCCCCATTCCTTCATTGATGGTCCTGATGGTTTGGGGTTTTACCTCTAGGTCTG